CCCCCCGCCTGGATCCGCCCTTGAATAGAATTCACAGGCTTAAATGTACCTATAAAACAAATATAATCTGTTGCGAATTATTAAATAACAATCAGCAACAAAAAATTGCTAAACCCGCTAAAAACATTAAGCAAACAACAATTATAATATTCTGAAAATTTATATGATCCATCCATGCGAAATAGCTTCACATCTCTAGCTCGCATATGCATGATATTAAGACTTCATTATTAAATTATCGGATAGCTGTTAATCCCACTTTTTGATTCATTGCTCACTTTTTTCCAGCTTTTGTGTATGTTCTCTTAAACAGCTAAAATATTCAATAAAAAAAACTACACGCTTTAATTTCTCTATTTCAGTTTTGGGCAGCTTATACGCCATGTGATTCACAGAACAGAGACGCTGTTCAACTTACATTAGAACAAATCGACGTTATTCGACGACTTACCGACTGGTACCAACCTCGATTGGTGCTCTGCACCTCTTCAGAAGGTAATCGAACTTAAAATTGGTTCATTACAGTTAAAGTGATCACATAAAAAAATAGATATAAATAACACTAAAGTTTTTTCCAGATATAAAAGCTGCACATAAAGCGCAACATATATGTTCACTCATAGGGGTAGAAGGTGGACATTCACTAGCTGGAAGTTTGGCCGTTTTGAGGATGCTGTATCATGTGGGAGTTCGATATCTTACCTTGACTTCCACATGCAACACTCCTTGGTAAAAAAATTATTTTCTCTTTAATTGTATTAAAACTCGGTTTGGTTTAGGGCTGATTGTTCACATGTGGATAATCCAGGCAATGCGCCCGAACATGGAGGCTTGACGAGTTTTGGAAAAGTAAGTGCCTATTTATGAAGTTACGTAGAGCTGTAGAGTTTTTCTGAGAAGGCAGACACAGACACATGATAATCAGTAATTGTATATACTTTCCTGACTGTGTTTCAATTCCAAATCAAATTCATTCCTGCGTTTCAGTCATTTATTGTCTCTATTTATCAATCAAAATACGTTTCGGTGTATTTTTCCACCATCAGCCTTGACATGCATTTTTGCCATGCAGAAAATGCATGCCAAGGCTTAAAGCAGCAACAACGCTACACATAAAAACTGATGATGGTGGAAAAATACACCGAAACGTATTTTGATTGATAAATAGAGATGAAAAATGACTGAAACCCAAGAATGAATTTGATTTGGAATAATCAGTAATTGTTATATAATTTTGTGATTTTCAGGTTGTGATACGAGAAATGAATCGCCTTGGAATGATCGTGGATTTGTCGCATGTGTCCGTTGGAACCGTACAGGACGCTCTCGACGTTTCGGCAGCGCCCGTCATCTTCAGCCATTCGTCAGCTTATGCGCTGTGCAATTCCACGCGCAACGTTGCCGATGAAACCCTACGCAAATTAGCCCAAAATGAAGGGATAATTATGGTTAATTTTTTTCCGGCGTTCCTGAGCTGCCGGGAAACGTCTACAGTAGCTGATGCAGTTGGTAAGAGGGCTCGGGTGTTTGTTATTCGATTTATAAATATTTGTCATTTTGTTTTCTGGTTTGTTATTATACAATTTTTACAGAAACCCTGAAAGAATTGTATTCGAAAAAAAATCAAATTAATCGTTATTATTAGCGACTGAAAGTCCAAAGTGAATATTCACAACACACAAACAAGTGTATTATTTTTAGCTCACATCAATCACATAAGGGAAGTTGCTGGAGTGGAAAATGTTGGTCTTGGAGCCGGATTCGATGGAATCAACCTGTAAGTATCTGACGGCAAATTTTGATCCACACTTTTAGACTTGGAAAGGAGTGTTTAGAAAAACCCCAAAAAATTCTTAATGCATATTTCCAGTGTAACGCAAGGGCTGCAAGACGTTTCCAGTTACCCGACACTTTTCGCCGAGTTAATTGGCACGGGAAAATGGACCGTGGAGGATTTGCAAAAATTGGCCGGATTGAACTTTCTCAGGGTGATGCAAAAAGTAGAGAAAATAAGGGACGACCTAAAAAATCTGCCACCCTATGAAGACGTGCTGCCCAAGTCGAAACAAGGGCATAGCAATTGCACGTCCGAGGCAACTTTCTAGTGAAAATTCATTCATAGTTAACAAAATACATTTCTGCACTTGGAGCTATTGGCAAATGTAACGTCCCCAATAGTGTTCTTTAAACACTAATAAGAGCTGAAGTCAAGGATCGTCGTAAGTTGGTTTAATAAAGTATGGAATTTTGTATCAACTACGCTTTCCTCTAATAACTTCCTGCTAAACTAATTTTGTTTAAAAACAGTGCCGGGTTATCACCTCTGATCTCACTTTTTCAGGAGAGCTGAATCCGGCACTGTTTAGCAACTTCCGCAGCATTTTCGCTACATCGTGTGTTAAGACACTTTTTTACGGAAAAACTAAAAAGGACACAAACATTTTGCAAATCCACGAAATTCGATCTTCTTTATTCAAGACCGTTCTTTTTTAATTTGCGCATTTACGACAATAAATTATAGGCCAAATGAGGAAACTTTATAGTATTGCTCTTGTTGAATCCAGCCTTTAATTAAAACCATGTAGTGCCGACTTTAGGCAGACATTAAAGCAAGAGGAGGAAAAACAAGTTTTTGCCAAGTTTCTCGTTTCTTTTGTGTCGTAATCGACTAATTAAAGGAAACTGGAGCTTCGAATTTCATTCAAATGTATTCGTTTTTGCTGGATATTAGATTAACAAATGCAGAGAAAATATTATAGGATCAAAATGAGAAAGAATCGAGACATACGAATTGTTAAACCGTTATAACCATTTAAAGTATCAAAATAAATCGAATTTAAAACTGTCCCAAAAAAAACTGGCAATTTTCAAAGTCCCTATTGTTTCGAATGATATTTAAAACCGATAGCTCTACCTCCTTATATTTATGGTGGTGAGGAATACCTACTATATAAGACAAAGTTATCCATTTCCTGGTCAGAAACTAAATGATTTTCGCTCAAATTTTCGTCTTGAAAAAATGGGATATTCGAACTGCCAATAGAATAGATATCTTCACTGCTTGCCTTTGGTTCAATTTAACAATAGTTAAGTGAAGTTTAATCTCGGCTTAAGCACCCACTTTAAAAATAATTATTACACAGTGTGAATGTAAAGTATTGAACAGATTTAAAGTTACAGAACAGAATAGACTTTCGAGGCCATTCCTTGAAACTAATGGGTTTTTCGGGTTTCTAGGCCGTCGTTGGGTAGAATTTCTTCTTAGAACTCGAAACTTCTTAGAACTAAAAACCCGAAAAACCCATTAGTTTCAGA